CCCCCCCTCCCCCTCCACCCCGCCCCAATCCGTAACTACTACCTCTTCTCTACACTTCATTTAGATTCAATCCAGCACTGGTTATCAACAGTTTTACCAATACTGATACTTTTTATGTGTTTTTTGCAGCTATGCAATGCAGAAAACGCATATTGATGAGGGGTTGTCTGGGTGTGTGTGTGTCTGTATGTTCGTCTGTACCGATTTTTCATCACGAGACTGGCAGTAGCTACAGGGCTGAAACTTTGGGGAAAATTTTTTTCTGACGGCCAATTTTTAACTTTTTTAGGTAGAAGCATTTGCCGGGAAAACCGGTGCTGGTAGCAGAAAAAACTGCGGGAAACTATGCAAAAAACGCATCTTCGCAAGGGCAGCCCGTGCGTTGGCCAATTATTAAAACTGTCCTATCACTACCACTAATTCTTAACCTTTCCTAACACACAATTTTCATAAGCCAGTGGCGCTCAACTCAAAAAATTCAAGTTTTCAGCATAGCAAACGCGCTTTCCAGGGATATGAAATATGGCCATGCTCAAATATCAATTGTATGGTTCTTTGCTTTCTGATGCAAGAAATAAGTGAACAGTACCTGTACTGGTTTAGTTGGATAAGTTGTTGGCGATGGTTCCGGGAAAGGTGAGGGCAGCACGGGCCTTAAATTCAATTCTGGGAAACGATTTGTCGGGAAACGATGTCGCATCATTCGCAAGCAACGATTGATATTTTCACGTGGTCCTCTCACCGTACAAATCTGATGAGTGGGGATCTGAAAAAAACGGACAGAACTGTCAGCGGATATCAAAAATCTTTACAAATCCGACGATTCTTCACTCATTCTCAATTCTTAAAAGTAATCTTTAAAATGCTGCGTTAACTTAAATGAAGCAGGCACTGCTAACCTTAAATACCTCAGTGGTAAGACGAACGAATGAAACGACTTGATTTTCATCTTTATCGGGGTTATTCAACAAAATTAATTTCAATTATCATAAATTTGATATAGAGGGTTGTGATCAAAAACCAAAGAAGGAAATCCCCTTTGCCTCCCTCCCCCTACTCCTCCCGTTCTTTGCTCCTCGTGCCCCCTCCCTCCATTCCCCTGCCCCCTCGTTCCATTTCCCCTCCCCCCCTTGGTCCCTACCCAGCTCTTTCCCTTCACTCGCCTTTACTTCCAATATGCCGCTTTTTCGATAAAATAATGGAAGAGTTTTAAGTTTTATTTCAGTGTGAGAGCAAAAATCATCCACAAACCAAGGGTTACAATTTCAAAAATCATGATTAAAACTCTGTAAGCTTACTGCCTGCATCTACTAGCTAAATCCGTACAATTCCACGTTGTCAAATCTGTTTAGTCCAACTTAGTTAAGTCTGAGTGAAAGTCTTGTATTTTACTGCGCGAAACTATACAAATTTAATAGCTACGCGAAACTATACTGATTTAAGAGAGTATTTAAATCCGCAAAGCCTAAAAGTTTATATGTTTTCCATACACTCTTAATATTATAAGCACATTATAATTTCAATTACTGTGAGAGGTAAAACTAATTTTCGTACCTTTGATGGTGTGTGGTGTGGCCTTATAACCATTTTCACATCATTCCGGCAAGACAATTCCTGGAAATTTAAAAACGAAACTGTAAGACAGTTTAGTACGGATAGCAGTGAACAATAAGTGACAAAAACTCCACTCCACTTACTCCCGGTAAAAAAAAAAAAAAAAGACAGGGAAGTAAAAGGATCAAATAGATACATGCTAGAACCTACGGAGGCCAATGCTCTGGTAGGCATAAGGGATGAGTTCAAGAAGCCCAGCAACGAAAAACTCTCAAAACACAAAAACTGCCAATGGATCGGCAGAGGGATAAATGCGATTTCGGGTAAAAAATTTTAAATCCTCATGACCAAAAAGAAATCCAAAAACTTTAAAAAAATCCAAAAACGAAAACCCCTAAATGTTTTTTCCAGTCAAAAACAGGTGGAACCTTTATTGTTTTGCCTTTGATACCGATGATCAATCCAACCAGTGTGTTGGGAATTTCGAATTCATAAACTGGTTGCATTTCCTCAACACTAGCACTTGGTGGTACATCATCCGCTGGGCTCAGCGACGATGCCAAGCCCCCTGTTGCTCGTCCACTGTCTTGTGATGCCTACAAAACAAATTTCATTAGAAAATCAGTATACAGAAGACTACAAAAAAAAAAGAAGGATTGCTAAGGACATAAAGAAATTTGATTCAGAAATGCTTAATTGATTAATCAATTTTGAAATGACTAATTAATTTTAAATTAAATTAATTTAAATCAAATAAATGCTTGAGGCTACCCCTATCCGATGTTCGGGGGAGCAAAAAAAATGAGCATTTTTAAAACTTTAAACAAAAAATCTAAGTTTTTAATAAACATTTAGCAAAATACACAGTTATTAATTAAAAATGAAAAATACAAATAATACAAAATCAACAATCTTAACACCCCTAATATTATATTCTTATAAACTATTTCAGTATAAAGTTAGAAGAAAAAGCAAAAAAATGTCAAAAAAAAATTTGTAAAGCAAAAATATTTGGACCAAAAAATATTTTTGTAAAATTATAATATCACTAACAAGAAATATTTGTCGCGCAAAATTAACAGCGCATGGAACAGCAATAGGTAAGAGGAACAGTCATTTCGTTCGGGTAAGCCAGCTTTTTTGAATTTTTGTCAAGAGTAAATTACACAGATCATGCCAGAATGTAGGTGAACAAGTTGCTACGGGCACACACACACGCACACACACACTACTCACACACACACACACACACACACACACACTACTCACACACACACGCACA